TAGTTTTGTATAAGCCTGGCCGGTAAGCAATTGTTGGTAGACTCATGTGCTCTGTTATCACTGCCTTTTAATTTAAATTTTCTTTTTAGGAGGTGTTTTTAACATCATTAAGTGTGTAGAAATCTGTTCTGAATTTATATAATGTAAAATCAGTCTTAAAAGTCAGTGATTTATGAAGAACACTGACTTGATGATGGTTTACAACATTTTTCCCTCCTGACAGGAGACTCATGCTGGGAAAAGTAAAACATCTCTATCCTCATTAATGGAAACAGAGCTAAACAGACAACTGTAGCTGTTGAAGGTTACTGAAACTGCCAGGAAATTCTAAAAGCAAAACCAAGGTTGGGCTGGCAGATCATTGTGCCTTTCATGTACAATCCTGCAATATAAAACCACGCAATTTCTAACGTTAAGGGACACTTTTGTCAATATTTATTTAGGCACTTTTATGTTGTATAGTATAGAAGGGATTAAATGGAGGAATACTCGCTTTACAGAGCTAGATTCCAGTGAAGATGCATTGATATGCTACATACTCAGTTTCCAACTTGTGGAGTTGCAGTTGAGATTTATTATTCTACTGACTAAAGATAATGAGCCTGCATTATTTCTTTGGTTATGGGAGAATGAACCTGAATAAAATTGGCTGAACTAATTAATATACATTTATGCCAGAAGAGCCTCAGATTGGATTTAGGCCATCCCAAGGGCTTCTTTCTTCATCCAGCAATCCATTCATGTAACGAACAGTCATTGAGCACCTACTATGTGACAGACTTTTTGTAGTTCACAAGCTCCTGGAGGACCTCGGGGGATTAGCAGTAAGCAACACTCCCCTGCAGGTAAGTACAGACTTCCCTTAGAGCACAACTGAAAGGAGCATCCATCTGGGGAGTAGCACCAACCTGCTTTCCCCTTCATTTCAAGTTTATTCACCTGCAGCCTGCTCTTCTCCCCCCACACACCTACAACTGCACGAACGATAGATCAGGTAAGCCATTTGTGCTGCTCTGCTCGAAAACATTCCAAACTTTGTCACCTAACTTCTTTTACAGTGTTGGCCTCATAATGCTTCTGAATGTCAAGGAGTTTTAACAACACAGAGTATAGTCAATATCTTAAAAGACGTTTAGTTTTCAAAAAATAATTTATATTCACTTAAGCTTAAGAGCTAAATCCATTAAAAAGTACACTAAAGTTATGTATTATGGAATAAGAAGTATGACTAACTATAAGCTCCTTGAAGGAGGCCTTGTATCTTTGTATGAAGCAGACCATTGGCAAATGTCTGTTAAATTGCTGAATTAATTGTGAAAAGTTCAACATAACTCAGGAAAAGACAAAAGTTTCTGAACTAGAGTGTTGGTGTTCATTTTGATATTCAAGAAGCCAAGGAGTCAAGGCGAACAGCTTCTGTTCCTGCATAAAATCTAAAAATTCTTCTGGCCATGAATGGGAAATCCACATGGGACAAGGTGAAGAGAATAAAAGTGTCTGTGCATCCCTTTAAACTTTCCACTGGCCTCTCTGCTAGGTACCTCCCACTCCTCCATATTCACCCCTGCAATAATGTATTGAGCACCTACTACCTGTGGGTACACTGATGTACGCGGGATACATAAATGGAAAAAAAAAAGTAAAACAGACATTCTACTTCATTTATTCATTCAAGACTTTTTTAAAGAGTGACCACCTTTGGAACTATGCTCAGCACTTGGAATAGCGATGTAGAAACTCAATGTGACATTTGTCCAAACGCGAAGCTGCTTGCAAATATGACAAAATTAGAAAGCAAAAATTGCCCAGGTACAATTTATCTTACCTTGTAATGAATTGAAGATGGAAAAGAGGTACGTGAAAGGGATGATTAAGGGTCCCCAGGAAAAGAATGAAAAACCCCACGTCATGCCCAGCAGAAACGTCAGGCTAACCACGCTGCGCAGGTTCCGTAAAACCTCTTCTCTCAGGGTCCGGTTGCTTCTCTTGCCATTCCTCCCACAGATCTGCACCATTACCACAATGAACATGGCAACGTTCAGAAAAAACATGACTCCAAAATACCCAGCACAGGTCACATAAAATATGACTGGATCCTGAATCCAACAGCTTAAAAAAGAAGAAGAAGAAAGGAGAAAGAAAGAGAGATTTATTACCATGTCCTGTTTACCTCATATTTTTCTTGACTTAGTTTGGACTATTGGATATTTCTCTCTCTGAAATGCCTTTAGAAAGTTCCTTGTACCTCAGTTTCTTCTTTGATCTTTACAAGACTAATTTTTTTATGGCCATCATCTTAGTATTTGGTTATTTAAGTTAATGTTAAAAAAAAAAAGCAAGGCAGCTTCTTGAATTTTGAGTTGTATGAAAATACTCTTCGTTGGCTTACCCCAAACCATGTCTAACTTCTTTTTCTCTTGCTTACCTATGCACTAAGAATGAGAAATTTAAGTATTCAGTTCAGGTCTTTGTATTTAAGGGATGGCAGTGATACAGAAGCAGAAGTCTGCTAAGGGATTTTTGGGAGACCTATTCTTGACAGACTCAACTGGCAAGGCCCTTATTCCTCCTCCTTGCCTCTAACACAAAACTGAGTCCTGGAGCTGCAGGAGTCCTCATCTGTCTCTGAGACAGAGGACAAGCGAGCTGCAGAATTGTTGGCTCTGACATTTTTAGCCATAAAATCAATGCCAGTGGTTGCTACTTCCATGTTTCTTGTCATTTGTGAAGAGTACATTTCTACTTATTTAAGCCACACCTAGTTGTGGGTTTGTCACTGTAGGCATAATAATTCCCATTAATATCATTGGCCTATAATAAGGCAGGATCTTATTATAGAACTGTGAGATTCTTATACAAACACTTCTCATGCACAATTACAAAGCTTACATTGATTACAAAACATCCTTATGAGATGGAGAAGGCTATACTAAATACTTGATATTTAGAATGATGTATAGATCAGATAATTGATGAAAGAAACTTCAAAATTGTAGTATGTGCGAAGTATAATAGGAGAAAAGTTGACAAATACTGCAATTTGTAGATGTCCTAGCGTGTAATCAATGCTATAGAAATTATTAGGTACCTCAAAACTTGGATGAAAGATTCAAGGCAATTAAATTCATCTTAAAATTTTATTGTAAATGGGCCGGGCACGGTGGCTCACTCCTGTAATCCTAGCACTTTGGGAGGCTGAGGCAGGAGGATTGCATGAGCTCAGGAGTTCAAGACCAGCCTGAGCAAGAGCAAGACCCCATCTTTACTATAAATAGAAATAAATTAGCCAAACAACTAAAAATAGAAAAAAATTAGCTGGGCACGGTGACACATGCCTGTAGTCCCAGCTGCCTGGGAGGCTGAGACAGGAGGGTCCCTTGAGCCCAGGAGTTTGAGGTTGCTGTGAGCTAGGCTGACACCACGGCACTCTAGCCCACGGGCAATAGAGTGAGACTCTGTCTCAAAAAAAAAATTTTTAATGTAAATGGTCATCATTCTGGGTTATGTCTTCCACACTGGAACATTATCTCCACAAAGGCAAAAGAGGTCCTGAACATCTTTGAATCCTAGAACTTATCATGACTCCCAGCATACAGTAAATTCTTAATAAATGAGAGTTTCTTGTAGCACAGCTATAAGAAAGTACTATTTACTAATTAGTACTTTAAAGTTCTGTAAGAGTTGACTAACATACTTTTTTAAATTTTCATAATATACTTTTTAAATTCCCCTTTTAATTCCCAATAAGAACTTAATGATTTCTACTTTTAATATATATTATTCTAAAGGCCCCCACAATAATACTGCTTGTCCCTGGAGCTAACTTTTCTTTACACATGGAAGTTCCCCTAAAATCCTGGAAATCCCTGACCCAGCTCCATTATTTCGCCCCGGTTCTTGAGGAGCCTTTTGAGTGCTACTTTAGAAATACAAGAGAAAGGAAGACCGTGACTTGGAGCACAGAGACTGGATGACTGATTGGATACAAAAGTGTTATTCATCCATTAAATGTGCATAGATATGTGGCATTACAGGTCTCATCTCAGGAATAAGCTCTTCGTTCATTCAGTAACTCTTTCTATCAACAGATATTTATTGAGCACTCATGATACGATTGATAAAACATGTCAGAACTGCCCAAACTGAGCAATGTAAAAACCTTAATCTCAATGATATCATAGTCTGAAGGGAACTTTCCAAATTATTTAAGAACTCACAGACTTCTCTATTCTCTGCATTTCTGCATAACACTCACATTGGCATGGAATCATTCACTGTTGGATATTGCTATTTAACTCTCTTGAAGATGTGTGTGGGTTTCAGGAGGTGGGAGTATTATGAAATCTCCTCAAATAGCATGGGCCTTCTGAGGCTAGAAGATAGTATCTCAGGCGCCTCCTGAATTCCCCCAGATGGCAGAGTACAATGTTAGTACGGAAAAGTGGCTCGAACATTTCAGGGCATTCAATTGAATTAATCTGTGGTGTAGCAGAGACCTTGGCAAAGACATGAGAATAAACTTCAACCTTTTAAGATGAGAGCCTCATTACTGGCATGGAAACTTACACTTCACTTCAGGAAACAAAGGACATATACCCACCACAAATATAGTCCCCAAAAGTTTATTACTTACAATTCATCACCTTTTTCTTTGCCATAGCTTTCCTTTCCATAGACTTCATTTTGGTTTCTGCTCGCCAGAACAACTGATACCACTAAGGCAGGCAAACCTATTATAAAAAGACCAAAACAAAAACAACTCTTCTGAAGCATCTGGAACTGCTTTATAAGACTGATAGTGGCAAGGAAAGAAGAAAAAGCAATTAAGCGCACACATGTGCACGCACACACACACACGATATCACAGAGTCAAACTTCTTAGAACTGTCAACTTTGTTAAAAACAACAAAATCCCCGCCTTGGTGTGGAATATGTCCAACACTTATTGGCAACAATCAGAACCTACTCTTAAATGACAGATATTTAAATATTCTGTTTGCTTAGTGGGACCCACTGGAGAGCTAGAACCCGATTTGAATTGAATCCAGCACCAGTGAAATGTGGTTTCATTAACGATGCCTTGTTAGACTGCCAGAGTTCAGGCAGACAAGGTCAGTGCAGCCTATTTTGTATCTTTCTATGTAAAGAAAAATCTTCAGAAAAAGTAGGGGAAATCATCAGGGTATAAAGTCTTTGTAGTCCTCTCTCTCAAGAGAATCGAGTTAAGTGTTCCCATGTATATTTCAGTGGGGAAATGCTATGCCACCCTATTTCTCTGAACGATGTTTTTATTGCCTCCCGAGGTGGTGTTGAATGTCTTGGAAATGTCTCTCACTTCTATGTTTCCATCTGAAAAAGATTTGTTTGATAACTCTAAAATGCCTGGCCCTATATGAAACCCAGATAAAGAAAGGCACTCATTGAGAAGATCCCAAACAGTCTATTAATACAACCATCCATGTCTGACTGAGGACTCATGTTAAAAAGTTCAAGGCAAGGACTCTGTAAGTATTCTGGTTGCACACACAAAAATAACATTCTTTCTCTCATTTCCAAGAAACAGGCATGTGTCTAGGGATGAGTATACTAGGAGTCTGAGCTGGCCTTTATATTTTAAAGCATAATGGAAAAGCACCACTGTCTGCCAGCTGCTTCTCTAGACTTGGGTGGGCTGGCTCTGGGCTCAGGAAATAAGTTGGTGGTGACTCAGGAGTAAGGGCTTTTCCTTTACTCCTGAATTTAATGAGTGCCGTTGAAGAGTTTTGAAATACACAGTTCTGAAGATGCCCCCCTTCCTCAGGGTAAGTACAATCTAATCCACATCATTCACAATCTTAAAGTTTCTCTTAACAATACTAGTCTTTAAAAATAAGATTTTCCTATGAAAATGTGGCAATTTTCATGTCAGGAAAGAGAAAACCA